AGAATGACGAGGTGATAGGGCTCAGACTAAAAGCGCGTTCGGCTATGGTTCGGTGTGTGGCCGGCTGTGCGGCAGTGCAGCCGGAGTTAGGGATGGCACCCGGGGATTACTGCCCTGCAGCTCTGCTCCCGTGCACCTTAGCAGGGAGAGCTACTGCAGCTGCTGTGCGCACCATTTTACTCGCACTTAGCAAGAACTAGGAATCAAGGGGGTGAGTGCAGAGCCTGTTTTTAATGTATGTGTCGGCATGCGGTCTGATTCTCCAGAGCACTGTGAAGAAGACGATACACGGAATAAACCATGTTTCAGAATGTGGCTGGGTAAGGTAGCGCGGCACTCTTTCCAACGGGATCTTGAAGGAAGGAGAGATATCTTAGAAGGAACGAACCAGAAACCAACGATGGTCAGAAGGAAAACATACGAGAGCGAGCTAGACTAGCTGCTCCAGCAGACCGCTCACGACAGCGTTTTGATGTGAGCAGTCGAGCAATGCGCGTGTTCACAAATCATGCTAGAATTGATGAGACTATTTCACTTACGTGTTTGCCGCGACGATCGAGCTTACCAAAAACGGCTCGAGCAGTATTGTCATTGCCCAGATGTTCATAATCTGAAATCCGGAAACATGTTGTCTTCATAATCTCTCGCTCTCGATAAACTTCAAATACTACGACTGCAGAGCTGTGGTAATGGGTGATGCCCAGATAGAGATTATTTTGTACTTGACATCCGAGAAAGCCGTTGTCCTTAATTTTGTTGGCACCAATAATTATCAAACGAGGATGGACTAGAAATCACAGAAGCTCTAGAAGTGCAACAATGTTCTGAACAGAACACAATTCCCACACGACTGCATAGTCAGAGTTGTCAAGGGACAAAAATCGGAATAAATTCCTCAAATGCTGGTACAGATATCACCTTAGTCACACGACCGCTGCGATAATTTCGGAGTGACCGAGAGGAAACTCCGGTTTTTCTAAATGAGATGGACACCGCTGTACTCGTCTTGCAACCTCAAGTGCAACTGTGATTTCAAATTTTTTGAACAATTTTCTGAGGAGCCTATCAAGATTCTCTCCCGTTACACCTCCAAGCTCAAGGCACAGGATGGTTGGATGCTGAACAGGTCGGCAGATATAGCATTTGTGAAAAATGTTCCCTTCACTATGGAAAGACAGCGAATTGAAAGTCTTGGCTCGACCGAATTTATTTAATTTGGGACTATTAGGTCATCCCATTCAAACGTGGTTTTTTCATGTTTTACAAAACGTGGGTAAGTTGTCGTTTGATGCAGTTTCGGCAATAGCAACATTGTAGCGGTTTGCGTCATAAGGAGTATCTCGACTACCAGATAGGTTGAATCGAACGGCTTTCATGTTGAGGGCGAACTGGGAACGATTGATACCGAGGTATCAGTTATTGTTTGTGTGGCAGCACGCGCAATACAATGCGTGACTCGTGGTCTGAGCACTATGAGAGGGGCAACGGTGGCCTTATCTTGTAGATTGTGTGGTATATCCATAGGATTTGTCGCTGAATGGTGAAGGAACAGGCAAATATGCACCGACAGTGCGGATTTGTTGCTCAAGGTATAGAGCCGTTGAAAAGCAGTTTGGGATCCTCTGCTAAGACGAATATCACATTGCACCACGTAATTCTGCTGGTAGTTTTTGGCGGCTTCTCATCTGCATCGATAGCAAAATTGACAGATTGTGAGTTGCTCGAGGCCCGAAGAGCACCACATTTCATTAAGGTCGGGGCGTTTTCAACCCGTTAATGAGTGAAACATCTCATGCTGAGAGACATTACATGCTAGAGGTTATAGAATTCAGTACTAGCGTTCGTAATTCTATAAGAACAACTAGGTGTCATGCGCCACACGCCCTTGACCATACTCAGTTTATTCGGATCAATAACAGTACAGTTATTTGCATGCAGGGATGTCATTCTCGCGGGGAAACTCTGACAAGGTCAGGCTCTGTGATTGCAGCATATCAGCTGCCTGATCTTCCACCCTTTTCCTTGTACAGGATGAACATTATGGGACCATCCAGAACAACAATTTTTTTTCCTCTCTTCCTTCTTCGGGCTCCTGAACCAAACTTTCACCTTGTACTTCAAGAACACCATTATACACAACTACTGGTCCGGTGCCACTCGAAATTGAGCAGCGCACTTTCCTGTTATGACACCTGATTTGAAAAACCGGCGCCGATTTTCACCACTCGGGCTTCTTTTCAATTTCTCGAGAACTTCTTCTGGGGCTAGGTTCGCCAAATTTCACAGATACACAGCTTAAGGTACTAGCTTCCAAATGGTATAGTAGCCCGCTGCTCTATCCCCTTTGCTTTTCTGCCATTCCTCTATATGTAGCGGCACGTTTGAATGGGATGACCTAATAGTATCCCGAAACGAAGAACACCACCGTTACATACTCTTCTGTATAGTAATGTTTCGAGCAAGCAAGCGCGTAGGCAAGTATTGTAGTAGGTTCAAATATTGATGGATATCCACAGTTGGGATAACAGCGGTACATCAAAACTTTACAAAAATTTGCTCGATTTTCTTATATTCGTCAGCTGCTTGCTCGTATGGGAGCTCCATATGTGATAAGGATGAAGACAACGTATACTCTAGAGCCGCAGCAGAGTTCATGCTTAATCTTGAAAGCTTTTCTAATAATAGCGTCTATATGAATCCTGAAACCCAAAGCAGAGTTCTTAAAGAACCCAATGTCTCGCATTCACCAGAACCTCACAAATTACGAGATAAGTTGGAGGAAATGCCTTCGCTTGTACGTTACAGTTCCAGCCCTTCCTATATGGAGCACAGGTAGAGGAGCAATTTTACTCAACGCCGCCCGCGGATGTCTAAACTATGTTTTCCGTAACCCCATGCATGCTTATAAGGACACCTAAAGCACAACTATATGTAGCTTAATGTTGGATTCTGCAAGAACTGCAAATCTCTATCCACTCTGAAGATCGGCATTTTCCAGCTCTCTCAAGAGTAGGAGCTCCTCAAGCAGTACAACAGCCAGGTTTCTGTTACTTGCGTCATGCACTTGAAAACCCACTTGTGTCATCACAAAGTGGCCGTACTGTCGTGAATGCAGTGTGGCGCACTTGTTGAAACCAGCCGTATTGAGTCCGAGTAAACTTTCAGCAAACACCTGAACGATTCAAATTAGTGCAGTCCCTGTAATACAAGTGATCTTAGCATCAGCCTTACTTACAAGAACAACAATTGCCGTGACGTTGTTTTCTCGAGGAACAAATGCCAAAATGGCGAAGAAAATGGCTGAACCACCAAGAGCAAGGGAGTTATATACACGGAGTTTAGTAGTTTCATTTATACACCTAATAATATGGTTAATTATTTTGAGGGATAATCGTACTGTGATTTGAGCAGTACTTACGTCAGCGCATCACTAGATACACCTCCTAGCAATTTGAGACCAAACTGAACTGCAACAGGAAGTGCTCCCAGGAAACCTGAAAAAAACAGCGAAAGTGGCTCCACCCTAGGCAAAAAACAATCATGAAAATCATGTACCTGTTTTGAGAACATTATAATGGAGGTAGTCGTTCAGGTATTGCGGATTGAACATGGCCACTAGCTGAAATGGGACAAATTCCCATGACAGAGAAAGCGCTAGAACTCCTCGAAAAAACCTTTCATCATAACAACACATCAGCATTTGTGTTCATATATATCCACCCACTAAATATAATTCAATACGTCATCTGTTTGTTTGCTTGTTTTTTTTATTTGTGTTTCTTTCTTGTTTGTCTGTCCGGAAATTCGGTTCTACCAGAAGAACAACTTGGAGAGGTGGGGTCAAGGTCGGGATGGGTAGGGCATGTGACAAGATGTAAAGAGCACCCATAACCCATGCTAAGCCCCGCCCACAGTGGGCAGGACATGCACCGAATTTCAACGGTCTCACTCAACAAATTAATGGTTCGGCTCAGTGTACAGCATCGTTGTGTGAAACAGATGGTATAGGGGGATGGTCGTATAGGGGGATGGTCGTAGTTTTCGGTTGGGGGAAGGGGGTCATACTTGCTCGTTGCTGAAGGGGGGGGGGTCGTATGTTGCTTTGAGAGAAGTTTGCCGCGTTGAGAAAAAAGTACTATGTTCCTCCCCCCCCCACCTCTTCCGCTCGACAGAAAAGTGGGAGTCTTAGGTGAAAAATTGGAAAATGTGGGAAATTGGTAAGTAGGTGTTGGGAGGGGAGGGGGTCGTACAGAGACTCCCTTTCAGGTGGAGGGGGGGAGGGTCGTACCGACACCACAGTTTCACACATTACCCCTCCAGAACAGCTTCGAGATGGGGGAAAAGATGGAACGAGGTTAGCAAAGGGTTGGCGGACCAAATGGAGAAGACACACCCAAAATGGGCGGGGTGTTATTGAAATGCGCGGTGCTTCTCCTACGAGAGTCGGTAACTCGGTCCCGCAGAGTTTGGATATTGCAAAAAAAAATAATAATGTGGCGAATATGAACATTTGGCGAGAGTATGTCATATCTGCCGTCTGGATGGACGTTTTAGTGAAGCGTCACTGTTCTATGCAGCCCCTTGACTAGATTGTCAGGCAGAGATCCAGCACGATCTCATGTCCCGGAACAAATGGGTTGATAAATGCTCGCAGTGTTTGGCATCGCATATGCGCGCATGCCGAGCAGCAAGCGAAGACACGAGAAAACATTCGTCCTTCACAACCCTTCCCTCCCCTCCTCCACTCACCTTGTTCCAAGTGAAGAAACTGGTTCCGCTGTGCAGCTGCAGACTTGCTCACCTCATCTATGGATAAAAGGAAATTCACCGATAACCTCACAGATAAGCATGCAGCGTGTGATATGTAAGGAGCCCCTGACGCATTTCCCACCTTCTGATTAGAATAGTGGTGCGCAATGCGAACACGCCCGTCGTATATTTGGAATGTATTTTTCCTATCAGCTAGCCCGTCAAATATCTTTATGAACCAGATCGAATAATCTTACCTGAACAGCCAACAAGTCACCAAAAGCTGCTATCCAGGCACCCCATAGAGTCTTGGACGTCACAATTTTACCATATGGGATACCACCGGTGTGCTTCTTTGTCTAAAAAATGTGAAAATGGATTTCAAAATAGAAACACGGCTAAACCTCGTGACTATGAGTGGCCAATCTGTGAAGAATTGGACCAAGGACTGAACAATCAAACTACTCCAACCATAAAGGGAAAAGCGTCTACTGAATCTGTTCAGAAAAAAGCGAAGAACAGACCTTCGATACTTTGCCATGCTGGAGTTTGTTCAGTTCTTGCCCATTGACCATGGAATGATGTTCTGGATCGTCTTTGTAGAAAATCGTCCACAGAGCGAATGCTATTACGGACAGTCCAGCGTGGACGTAGTAGACAGACCGCCAGCCCCACGCTGTTGAGCAGAGTGCGCCTGCAAAACTGCGTATTGGAGTTGAGTTCGTTCGCTTTGATGTTGCTGTTTTACTCATCAACTTACCAGAGACAGGCATCGTGAACATATTGCTGAGTTGCGTGCATCCAGTGAGCAAACCGACGAACAAACCGTGCTCGGTCAGCACTGCCCAGTCGGCGGTAACTGCTCCGATGATCGGAAACGTTGCGGAGAAAGCTACGCCCTAAAGCTAGGTGAAATTACTTCTTGTTTTTCAAAAGAAAGGGTCAGAGGCAAGGTGGAACTGAAACTAAACATTTTTGATTTTTTTATAAGCGCCACATGCATCACGTTCCTTCACGCTAATCAACCGCTCGAGCGGGCCCTCTCCATTCGTCCCTGTCGCGGGGCAGAGTGATCCAGTGGATTCTCCCAGCTTGAGGAACACGAAGCCTTTCATTAGTCCCAAGCAGAACCCGTGTGAAGTGGCCCCGATTCAGACAAGCTGGAGCCTTCGCTTCTTCATCATGCTACGTATTCGCACAGGAACAGGAAATTTTGCTCAAGGAATATGATGATCCGACCCCTTGTAGAACTTCGGGTAACTGCGTCATCGATTAGGCAAAACCTTTGATTGAAGATGATGTGATCGACCTCACTCGGTTACTCTCCACCAGGAGACTACCATGTCCAATGAAGAGCAGGGATTCTAAGCCTGCGGATTACCATGAACGATGTGGGCCTACATGATAAGCTCAGGCAAATTTCATCATACTTATTCCTTTGATTTAGCGAGTTCCCACAGTGAAGCTTGTCAGCCATTCCTCTTGAGCTAATGATGGCAAAGATTACTAATTTGTGAAGCTCTCCCAATTTCGCATAGAATGCTTTGTGCTTATGGTAGCTTGCTATTGGTGCGACCATATCCCATTCAATATGTCACTAGGACTCTGAACGGAAATAGAATGCGTGCTGCATCCGAAAAAAGGGATTGGTCGAAGAGAATGCTTTATCTTTAATGGAGTTCAGATCGAGGGCGATGTGTAGTAATGAGGCCCACGCAAAGTGAAGTGAATCCGCAGCATCTCCCTTTCTACCATTAGCGGAGCTATGCGATCCCTGCGCCCTGCAAGTCTTTGTCCGTCGTTTTGGCAGTCTGCAAATCCTTCACTTTCCTCAACTCCGCGGTTCTTCGTATCGAGATGTATACTTTGTAGCATACGCAGCTTTGTCATTTCTTTCACGTCATCATATATGAATGCGGCCTAACCGAGTCCTACCATAGAATAGTTAATGTCTTGGCGCGAAGTGAACACCATTCCGTATTACGGACAACATTTGTCTAATGGAATTTTCTTCCCAAAAACACGACATATTTTTCCAGAATCGACGTCAGCCGCTAACTATCCCTTCAAAGAATATGTCCCATAATAATTCATATACTCTTTCCCCTTGAAGGCAATCGGTAACTATGTCAGTACTTAGGAGCCCGCTACGAACAACTGTAAACTAGAACAATCGAAATCTGATAGCAACGTGGCATTCTCTGGCAAGAAAAGACTAACGTTCTGCATAAAAAACGCAGTAAATAGGGAAGTATATGCCACGATACTTACACCTACTTTGAACTCTTGTATGGTTTCGTTTCTCAGCGAAGACTGCGAACTCACCTGAAATGTTCTGGCCAACAGGAAGAATCTGAAGCCATACACGTGAGCCAAAGGGACCAGCGCAGTGGACACTAAACGAAATTGCTACGATTTGGACTGAAAGAGCGAATTTGAGGACAAGATCGGGACAAGACATAAAGGAAAAATAGTTCTTTCTGTTCTTCGTGCCTTGATTGTGCTATTTTCTGTACTGATTTTTGTGAAACTGCTCTCGCATGCTACCCTCTTTTCAAGCGCATCCTCGCCATTGAACAGATATTTCTAGGTTTCGGGCCAAAACAAACACGGACAAACAACTGCTCCGTACAACTTTTCTATTCCAACTTATACTGGGCGAGAGAGCTGGAAACGGTTCGGGACATTAAGGAGGCGTCTGGTCCTGGAACGACGAGTGAACGTACAGCGCGGTGGTAGTCTCAGAAGAACTCTCAACGGTGACGACAGCCCTGACGATAATGAGCGTTGTGAGCGGCTATCGGATGCTGGCAACGAACAATCGGGAGCACTGGCCGAAGAAGACCCGCGTGCAACGCTGAAGAACATCGCCTCAAGAACGAACGTTTCGAGCGGAGCGGTTTGCACCCCCATGCAGGAGATCGGGACGTCGAAGAGCATAATAAGTGGGTGCCATGCGATTTGAGTCAGGGCTGCAAGGATGATCGTTCCGAAGTATTCTCTGCCGCGCTCTTGCGATGCAGAAACGGCTAATTTTTTATAACGGTATTATAATTGTGACGAGAAGAGGGTTATTAACCTTAACCGGTGACGATATGATCAGTGGCATCGAGCTTCTCAACATTGCTCTCGGCCGAAGCAGCACAAAAAGAAGTTTATGGGGGTGGTTCGGTGGTCTGCAGTTGGCGTGACCCACAAGAGCTCAACGGATCCTGGCGCAACTATGGCAGCTGAGAATTACTGCCGGGAAAGCGACGAAATTCAGCAGCAGGCACAAGTGCAGGATAGGTGCAGATAACCACACAGTAAGCAGAGCGTCAAGGGCGTCTGTACTTTGTGGGCGGAGTTCCTGGCCATCACAAGCTTCAAGCACCCTTACTGTTTTGGGCGGCGAAAGTGGACATACTAAGAGACTGCGGACTTGGCTCCTTTTACTCTCGATAGGGATATCATCTCTCGAGTAGTTGCATCTTTAACATTTGCCGACAATTCATTGGCATGGCTTGAAGGCACAATGAGGTACCAAAAAAGAAACGAGAGCAGGGTATAAACATTGTGCGGGAATGTTGCGTTCGTGCGATTTGGTTGGGAAAGTTACACTTTGAGTGGGGAAAATGTTTATTCTCTTCAAAAGTCGGAAGCTAAATAAATAGCATAAAAACAGTACCTGCTGAAATTATTCCAGCTGAGAGAAACACCCATTTCTTTGTGTAATGTTCGAACAGGTAAGTATATGGAATTGAGGCGGTCAGTGCACCAATTGCCACGGAAGCTTGTAACCAGCTTTGCTGCTTCTTGTTGTACTGTTCTAAAGCAATATTATAAAGGTTGCGTGATCAATCAGTAATTCGACAGCTGACAACCTGGTTCTTCATTAGCGGTGTCATTTGAAGGTATCATACAAATCTTTGTGAAGTTATAAGTTGTCATATTAGAAAGTAACGATGTAAGGCACAATGCGGAAACGATGAGGATCTGAATCGGAACCAATCAATGAATGCTTTACTGTAAAAATACTGTAGTGCGGGACACTTTTACTCACGATGTATCGAAATCCTGGTACTGTGCATTGTACTTTCGTTGCAACATCCCCGTTCGCAACCAGTGAGGTTCGCTGCTCATTGGTGAGGTTTTCTGTAAAATGAAAACTTCTCCAGACGACGTTAGAGAATAAGTCATTTGGTATTTTTGAGATCCTCAGCTTTGATTTTTCACGAAAATTCATTCTATTTATTCAGACTGCCGAAAACACTTTTAGATAGCATTATCCTATTTCCTAGCTGCAGTATTGGTTGCCCGTGCTGCGGCAAACTTCGTCCTTTTTTTCTCTTTAACCAGAAAAGCACCTACGCCCACCCAACCTACTCTTTCGATTCGCTCCGATGGTCCTTCCAAATACCTCATTTTTTCCAAAAATACTAAATTACAGCACTATAGAGTACCTTAATAGGGTGGTTCCGTTACTCCTCAACGTACCGCTAGAGACAGCCCATCCTCAAGAATGGTGGTGGGCCGAACAGAGGCACCAGCGTCAGACTCGCAGCAGGTCGGCAGGTAACCAGGGCACATCATTGATTGGGGATTTTGGTCGAGTCTGTACGACCCCCTCCTTTTTTGGGGATTGGTACGACCCCCCCCCCCCTCCCCTTCGGCCTTCTCGTCTACTCCTCACTCGAATCCAGCCGTCGAGCGGGGTCGAGCGGGGGGAAGCACATGTGAAGCGGGAAAAGCTGCGAGGAAGATACGACCCCCTCCCTCCTGTCATTTCTTAGATTTCCCCATCCTCCTGCCACTTTTTCC